TGGAATTCGTCGCGTCCTTATTCGTCATGTTTATTTATAGCTTTATGCTTTATTAATAATTGGCCCTCACATAAACAGGCGAAGACGGAAAAAAATGTTCAGGTTTATTTTGCAGGTTTAGACAACCTGCATATAATAATAACCTAGACGGTCGATAAAAATAATGGAATACAAGAATTTGTTGAAATAATATTTGAGATATATGTTCAGTAGTTATTATAGAGAATTATTAAGTTCATCATCATTGTCAATCAGTTTTTATAATTATAAATACATCGAATATCATAGAAAATCATTGCATATAAATGTTTATATTGAGAATTTAACTCGAGAATATTCTCGAATTAAATTCATGTTGTCGTGAAACACTTGCTAAGGATGTCGAAGAGTTCTATTTTAAAAATTTATGTATTTTATTTTATTTTACTGTTTCTAAGTAGCCAGTTCTAAATACTTTCAGTGTCGCCCTCGTAACGCGCATGTTGTACTAATGTAATCAAATCAATAATTGTAATCAGATAGGATGTCTATTAAGATCGTCGTTCAATATTAGTGCAGTACAAAAAATACGTACTATTAGAAAATTCAACATAAACAAAAAGCTTCTGTCAGTTTTGTTTGTAGTTGGCAACACCGGTAGTTTTTCCAGTGAATCAACACAGACGTCATATTACGTTTCGCATAGAACGCTTGCGGTGCTTCTCGTACGTTCTTTCCTCTTTCTTTGAATTTACTGAACGACCGACAAACTGTCCTTCATTGTCTATTAAACACTAAATAAACAATGTCAACGTTCGCGGTGGTACTAAAGAAAAAATATTTGAAAAAATTGAGAAATTTAAATTACTTGGTACTTGGTGTAATGGGCTGGTGGCCGCAAAACAAATTAAAATTATACACGTTTGTAGTAGGCTTGTATAATATGAGCTAAAGGAATATATTCCCGAATAAACGGACTAGATGAACTAAATGAACTAGAAGACCGACCTAGTTCAGATGACCGCTAGAACTAGATAGGATCGCTCCATTTAACGACAGGCATAAGTCTAATTTGTAAAGACAAGGTATGATAAGAGTAGATACGTTATTTTCCATTGCTTTTATCTTATAAGAGTTTTATCCTGCAGTTATAAAGGAAGGTATCATTCGCTTTGCAGTGATTACTATGTAAGTTAATCCGTATCTTAGACTCCTTTATTGCACTTGGTACAATAATAGAATACAAAGATCCTTAACTCCGACTTCACTCTATAGACAAGAACATGTATACTATCAGTAGTGACAATGTTTTGTTTTGGTGTTGAATTTTGTCAAAGAGTATCAGTACCGTACCACCTTGGACAGACGCGACAGTCTATACCTATTGCGAATGAACTAGACAGGCAAATAATATTGAGTGTTTCGCAGTGAAATTTATCCATAGCTGGGGAATTAACGTAAAACCCCTGGCAAAGTCGCAATCAGTTGTACAATACATTTAATTTTGCTTTGACCCAGGGGTCTTCCGCTTATTTTTTGTCACTAAAAGGAAAACAAATTAAGTGAAAGACAAAAAATACAGTCGAGTTGTTGAAATTATAGGTGTTATGTTATGTACTTAACTTTTCCTTGCGGAAAGGCAAAGGTGTTTAGATCACGCAGTCTAGAGATTTTTCGTATTTTTAAAATTTATATATGGTAATCATAGTAAGTATTTTATTCATTTTTATTGGGAAGTCAGGACACTTTGTTACTTATTAATCTATGATATTGAAGGGTTGTGTCTTCACCGCACATCAGTGAAATATCTACAGCGTATGTATGGAACACCGTATCTCGTACGCTAGTACATATCGTTGCGTGGCTTAGTTGGCAGAACAAAATACTATCGTTCTTATCAAGTAAGCTTCAGATCGAGTCCACAGGCCTTACGAATCTCTCTGTGCTTGCTGCTATATTCTTTGTATAGGACTTGATCGTTTTTCTGCCATATCGTCACCTATGAGAAACTCATGGAAGTTTTTTTCACTCAACCAGTAACAAATACCAAGCTTAGTGGAATATTTTCACAAAAAATAGATGAATATTATGATAGAAAAACATCACGATATTCAATAAAGATAAAATATTTCAATAATGAAATATCATTAACTTTACCTACTCACCGTCCTTCTTTATATTTATTAGATTTTTTAACCGATTTCAAAAAAATGAGGAGGTTCTCAATTCGACTGTAATTTTTGTTTTTGGACGCGATAACTCCGATATTAGTGAACCGATCCACCTCTACGGGTGGCTGATCACGTATGAAAATTAATTTTTATAAATAGCGCCTACATTTTAGTTAAGGAACGATTATTTTAATGGTTGGTTTTGCTATTCTCCAATTCAAGGCGTTTTTCTCTCTCAATATACTTTGATTAGTGAGAACCGATTTTTATTATCTCCTGTGTCAACTTAGCAAATAGACGTAATTCCACGTACTTTTGAGGTCGGTTTTTTTTAGTACTCTGTACTGAGATTATTTAAGTTCCAAATAATGGGACGAGCAAGTCGTGCATCTGGTGGTAAGCAACATACTTATCCGTAACAGTTGCATTGCAGTAGCTGTAGAGCTCCTTGTGAAAGAGTTCGTCCAGGGAAGTACTGCCACCTCACCTATTTCTGCCGCCAAGCAGGAATGTCATCATCACTGTGTTCCAGTTTTGAAGGGTAAGGGTTCTGGGGAAATTACAGGCACATGGGACTTGTTAGCTTAATTTTGTGGTACTCAGGGTGACGGGCGCAGTGGCAGTGCGCCGCAGGTCTTTGCGATTTAAAGCTCTAAGTGACATTGCAACTGTTATAGACAGGCGTCTAGTTTACCGTCAGGCGCACGACTTGTTCGTCCCGTCACTTGATATTATAAAAAAAGTCCAAGCTTCGCAACTATGCATTAAGAAAGGTCATATGACAGTTTTATAGACGTGGATCTTTAAAATCATAGTCTAAATATTGTTATGCCATAGTCCGTAGTTATAGCAATTTGAGAATATCAAAAGTCATAAGACATTACTCATATTTATTACAACAATAATAATCTCGGCAAACTAAAATTTCCATTGTTTATTTTCGCGTCATATACGTTTATAATAGAATAACTAACAATTAGTGGATTACATTATCGCTTTAGAGTTTTGTTATTGTGAGTCAAATGAATGATAATGTCTTGAATACGGAATGCAATATATATATAAAAAATAAAATTGAATCCCGAGACAAGTTTCATAATTACTTCTAGTGCTACTAAAGTGGCCTTCTGCTTTTTTGTCATTGTCAAATGCCTTAGCAACTCAGGGTTTCTGACGAAACACTTGCGTAGGATCACCAAGATATTATAGTAGATTTTGTGTCTTCATTTTCATCAACTAGAATTTCCAAAATCCCTAACCATAAAATGCCAATTGATCGTTGAGATGTTGGGCGACGGGTTGCAAAATACTAGAGTGCAAATAAATAAAATTTAGCGAGATGTAAGATCTGTACGAGAACAGCCCCGAAACTAATCGCATGAGGCCGTGTTACAAACTTATGATTTCGAGAGTTTTTGGCAAAAGGGTCTTCAAAATTCAGTTTCTATAAGTTGTCACTCTTCAAATAGAAGATACTATGTTTCCGAATGGACTTACAATTTAGTAGAGTCGTGATTATTGTGAAATAATTTGCATAAAGAGCCCTTTCAATTGGTATGTCGATAATTTCTATTGGAGTGCAAGATTGGATACCGTATGTTGCTATTCCATTGTACTTTAGAGTCCACTTGACAAAATATACTATGGACAGTAAGTTAAAATATTAGGCTTGTAGGATGAGTACAAACATAAATACATTGTCGGTAAAGTAATGTAACTTAGCGCTCACAAGTTTACAATCGTAGACACATTGAAAGCCTGCGCTTGCATTCACGGCAAGCCAGTACTAACCTTGGCCACTGCGGATAATGTTATTGTTTTTTTAACTTTTTTCCGTGACAGTACCTTTTGAGGTTTCAAAAGAAGCGTTAGAAATGGTCATAGAAGCAGTTACGTTGCCTCCTATTGTTATAATATGACTATAGCCGATTTCATAAAAAAAAAAATTGCGCGGTAGTGCATTTTAAAAAGGACTTTGAATTCAATTGTTCGATTTTAAATCTTATTTGGAATTCACAGTTTTAATCATAACAAAATATAAAACTTAAAAATATGAAATAAAAATTTCATTGTAAATTTTTAATCACGCTTCGACTCTACCACTTCAGAAAGGCGTTGTAAATAAGAGAAAATCCTACAATTATACAAATGTCAATAAAGGTCTGTACAATAAGCATTGAATACTATTTTATTGAACCGCATTCGTAGTTTGGTTAATAGACATTTCTATACAATACAATACAATACAATGACGTACCTAATTACTTACGCAATTGCCGTGTGAATCTCAACTTCATAATTTGCACCAACAATATCATTAAACAGTCATGGCTTCGGCATTTAGTCTTTATTGTCTATCTGCTTTATGCGCATGCGTTCGTTTACTTATCGAATTCATTCCACCTGTATAATCGATTTCGTATAAAGTTACTTGTAAACATTTTTCTCATCTAAAAAGCGCGGCATTTTGAATTGAAAAAAACATTCGTTTTACACTAAATAATTCAGTTGTCTTTCCAGAATATCTGTCTAATGACTTTTTAGAATATAGTTGTCTATATATAATGAAGTTTTAGACACGTCAGTGTGTGGATTATTTCGCCTGCGATGATAACGGGATACGGGCGTTGAACGGCTCATTATCCTTCTGAGGGCAAAAGGTGGCGTGTGTTGATATGATAGCTGGCACTTGGAAGCAAGAGTGCGGTCGAGGCCGGAGCCGGGAGTGGTGGCAGCGCGCGGGCGCACGCCGCATTCAGTGTACAATCGCGCGTCGAGTGTTGCGCGCACGCATCACGTCGTCCGAGCCGTTCACTGCACCGCCACTCGCGCAGTTATCGATTGACCGCCTTATCGAAACCTTCCATTCCTTCGCCGCGCGGAATTCCGAACTGCAATGCGAAGTGTCGGTCGAACACGTGATTGTAAGCAGTCTTGGAGATCGTAAACAACGCGTGATGCAGCGGGACTAGTGGGCGCCGTCTGTCGCAGACCTAGCGGCGCCGACATCGGCCACCACCCTCATGTGTACCGTCTGCTTTTTTCCCGTGCCCAAGGAGATAACGTGATGTGACAACTATACGTGTCTGGTGCCAGTGGAATAGTTTTGTGAAAGTGTGCAGCGAGCGTGAGTGCTCACTCGAATCGGCTGCCGGCGCGGCCGGCGCCCCGTGACAATGTTGAATTGCACTGATCTGGAATGCATTCTCCATCACCACCATTACTACGCGCATCTGCATCATATCCACCACTTGCAAAATGCACAGGATCCAGGTACGTAACTCAACCGTCATAATACTCGACAGGCAGAACGAGTTTTTATTCACAACAATCTACAAGAACAATGAAAATACTTCAGGTACGTACCTACTTAGCACAATGAAATTGTTTGATTTAAAGCGGACGACGGCTGTTAATGATAACAAATGTGGCGAGCGCATCGCAGACGCGGACCTCGTGAGAATCCTTGATTTAGACATCGATTTAAGAGACATTCCAAATGATGCTAATGTGGTGTTAATGGTGAAATAAAAAGGTTTTGTGTCAAGTGCTGTATTAGCGGCGATCTTGACATTTGCGAACAATTATGAATTGGTACAACTGCTCCGATAATGGCAAAACACGCGGATCGTTGCGCGATAAGTAGCAGGTGTTAAGAGTTAGATATCACGCAATGTGCTTGCCGGCAGTGCTGTGCGGCAACTTGAGCCGTTTTCACTCGCAGTGGCTTAAAACCTGCCGAGAGGCGAAATGGACAAAATATTTGTACAAACAAAATGTTCACCGTTTTCTCTTTCTACGACGCCGCAGTGTTAAATAACTGTCCACTCGTCTTGCTCACATTATCTTCGCTTAATTATTTATCAACGCCTTTCTTATTAAAACGTTAGCAAGAAAGGTTGTCGAATGCAAACCTATGTAATTAACGCAAATTAGTTTGGTAACGAATGTTGAAATTCTAAGAAACATAACTTTAGCATATATTAAAGTTTACGATGGTTAAGTGCCTGGCTATGTAAATGACGTTTTACACAGGGATATCGCTTGCTGAGCAAAAATATTTCACGGTTTCAAGATTTCGTCGTGACCCAGTTGAGTAAACAACCGTCAACGTCATGTCTTTATTATTTATAACAATTATTGTGTTACTAGTCCGCCACTTCTTCTGCGTAGAATAAATACATACTTCGGGTAGCCTACTGTGTTAAATTAATTTTCATACAAACTTTCATCCCATATTAGTGGGATTGTGACAAAAAGTGCCTTACATACTGCTGCTAGGTCACATCGATCACTATACCAAAATTCGTCAAATTTGGTTCTGCGATTTAGGCATGAAATTGTAACATACAGATAGGTCACTTTCGCATTTATAATAATTACTTTTATATACAAACAGTATTCCTTCTTCTCCGTTATTATGGATTGTTTATACAGGAAAATCAATAACTGTACATTTTAATTATCTAAGTAGCATCGGAATAGCCGAACAAGTTTTTAAAAGTTGCGTTTCAAGGACATAATTAATTCAAGATTCGAAGTTTAATTGAATCAGTCACATAGCTGTGCGTTATTGATATGAATGAATTGTCATGTAATTTGCATTACTTATTATATTCAGAAAGAAAGAGCGTAAAAAAACGATTTAATAAAAAACGAGCTATTGACGAAATTGGGTTCAATGTTCAAGCTCTATTCGATCGGTTTAGTCACTTTCACGAAAACCTTGTTACTAAAATAAAAAGGAAATGACCTGTTTATCATTGTTTATCTGTTTATCACTCGTCTTGCAAATTTTTTTAGTAGGTTTTCGCAGAAGAATATGTCCTCCTCCCGACTGATAAACAATATTTTTATTTTTAAGCACTAGAGTTGGTAAACAGGATAAAATCTTATATGAATAACAACGAGTCAGTGCGTATAAAATAGGCTTTATTAGTAGCAGTAGAGCTCCTTGTGTATAGTATCTATTTCTGTCGCCAAGTAGTAATGTGAGTTAATACTCATCCCGTCATCGTACTTCATTCCGTTCCGGTTTTGAAGGGTAACAGTGAAATTATAGGCACGTGAGATGTGTCGTCGAACCCGACTCGGTTGGGCAGCTTTCGGGAAACTCCGGGTCGTCTTCCCGTCCGTAATACCGCAGTCCTTGAAGACAAAAGTCTTTGGGCAGGGCGTGTTGCCAGCGATGACCGCGGTCACTTACTATGGGCCTCATAAAAAAGCTTAAAGTCGGCAATGCTCGACATTTCTCTACGTGATCGAAATAGAAATGAAGAGATCCGTAGAAGAACGAAAGTCATCGACATACCTCAAAGGATTAGCAAGTTGAAGAGGCAGTGGGCAAGGCACATAGCTCGTAAAACTGACGGCCGTTGGAGCAGAAAGGAAGGCGGTCGGTGGGACAGTCCCCTACTAGATGGACAGATGACGCGGTAAGGGTGGCGGGTACCCGATGGGTGCACGCCGCGTCCGATCGACTAGTCTGGAAATCTTTGGGGGGGCTATGTTCAGCAGTGGACGTCTTGCAACTGATTTGATGGTGATGATGATGGAACTTGTCAAGCTAGAACATGTGTCAGGGTGACGGGCGCAGTGGCAGTGCCCCTCCGATCTTTGTGTTTTAAAGCTCTGAGTGGCACTGGAACTACTATGAACACCATCAGGCCCACGACTTATTCGTCTTGTCAATTGAATTGCTCCAAAATTGAATGGCTCCATAAAATAATCAGTAATTTATACAAATGCTCTACCTACATATTGAATACTAAATAACGGTTATACAATGTATACAAACACTATACATTATGTGTATAATTAATAACAATATTATGATAACATACTTTTCATAGCGATGTTACCGACTTGTCATGACAAGGTTCTTTTCGTTTGTTTAATAGATTTTTTATAAACGTAATTGTTAACAATTTGTTAAATATAAAAAGAATGTCCTAGTTAATTTTCGTCATTGCCATGTCCTGATTGTTGTCAAAAACTAAGATCACTGCATATTTAGTAGCAGTAGCGCTTCTTGTGAAAGAATTCGTCCTGGCTTTAGTAGCAGCACTTGCTACTATATCTTTTTCTGTCGCCAAGTAATAATTCGAGCATTACTGCGTTCCGATTTTGAGAGATGAGGCTACTGGTGAAGCTACAGGCACATGGGACTTGTTAACTTTAACTTCCAGAGTGGCGGGCATAGTGGCAGTGCCCCTTAGATCTTTGTGATTTAAAGTTCTGAGTGGTACTGTAAGTGTTATAGACAGGCGTGTCGCGTACCATCAGGCGCACGACTTGTTCGTCCCGTCACTTAGTTTCTGTAAAAAAAATCAGATCTTTGCGATTGTAAGCTCTGAGTGTCAATGCAACTGCAAGCGACTCGCCTTCTCGAGTCTGTAAGCACCACCAAGTTCGCAACTTGCTAAAAAAGGATGGAAAATGTAATTAAAACAATTGTTTGTTAAGAAATGAAACTATTTTTCCGGATTTAAATCGCGTATATTTGTTTTTTCAAACAAACCGACGTTTCGGGCCCTTTACAGGTCAACCGTGACCATGGGACCTGTGTGTAACAATCGCGAAAACCTAAGAACTCGATAAATTGTTTGTTATTTTAATTCTTAGTTTTATCCAGGTTCTTAAGACGTCTTCCGTAGTTGAGTGTCTTGCACACCGGTTTTCATGGTGTCGCCGTCTCTGAGGTCTCGGGTCTCGGGTCTGGGTGTTTGTGATTGTTTCCGATTTCCATAACAAAAGTGCTTTAGCTACTTGCTTTAGGATCAGAGCAACGTATGTGGTGTTTATGTTGTTGATGTTGTCTTAACCCGTTCATGAACAGTAAGGGTATTTACCTCTTTTTTGCCGCCTACTGCTTTTCCATAGAGATGTATCAACAATTTCAATACATGAATACTTTATATTGAACCCAATTTAAGCACTATGACAAGAAAAATACTGACATTTTTGTGTGCGGTACTACTTCAGTACTGTCCATGAAAGGGTTAAGTAATAGAAGAATGATTTTGATGTTTAAAGAGTTGTTTGCATTCATACTAATGGAAACAAGCGATGATTTTCTATTGATTCACCTTATTATACTCTAAGACAATACTCAATGCCTATATAATAACAGCAAACATTTATAATATCAACATTAACCAGTAAATATCATGTGAGCATTTCTCGGCTACTCAAATTGTTAGAGGCAAAGGAAACCGGCGGACGGGAAGGCAGAAGATATTACAGTTATCAATGTATAATTTATGCTATTTCAATGCTTTGTGATCGACCTCGTAGTATTTCCCTCTGCGGTATTGAAAAACCAGAGGACACCGCGGCGGGAGGAGACAGTATGCGACGGAGTCCGCTTGCGTAGCAGAGAACGGGAGTTAGCGGACGCTATGGTACACTGGCTGGACGTCGTGATATGGGCACTAGCGGTATATTAAGGGATATTTCTCTTCGATTCGGCCCTTTCTGTATTATACAGAATAAACGAGACGCCTGACAGTTTTGTCGGACGAGGCAAGTTTTTTATGATTCCTTGTGACGGAAGGAATAAGTGTCTGATGGTAAGCGACACGCCTGTTGTTAATAGTTGCAGTGCCACTCAGAGCTTTAAATCACAAAGATATCTTTTTGATTTAGACTACGACTGCGCCCGTCACCCGGAGACATAAGTTGACAAGTAGCATGTGCCTGAAATTTCGCAAGCAGCCTTACCCTTCAAAACCCAAACACAGTAATGTTGACGTAAAGGTAAGGTGGCTCCGTTGCTACGAAAAGTAAATAAATATCGGTTAAGTAATCGCTAGCTACCAGTGGCAAGGCGTGAAAATAGTCGTTAGTAAAGCCGGTGCAAAACTAAAAACATCTACCTTTATAAAAAACACAACTTATTAGCACAGAAGTTACTAGTACACTTGATTTCACTGGTTAACTTATTCTACACTTAAAATTTAGCTCTAAACGTAGTATTTGATAATACGTGGAAAATTGTAGGCAAGCCCAGTGAAAATCGACTTAAACGGATGCCTCGCTACTGCTAGTTACACGTTAAAAATATAGGACAACTTACATTACAGTTGCCCAGCGGTTAGTACTGTGACCGATAATAAATTCAATTTTGGAATAGAACTTTTCTAAACTGATACTGTTTTGTGTAGTTAATTTAGTTGGGTCTTCGTAATACAGGGAATTCTCTAGTTTGAGACCGACTGTTGTTGTTTGACATCTCATTGTTATTGATATCTATTTTTACATACATATGACTT